ATAGAAATTTTTAGTAATACATCCTGAATTTCTGTAAAACTATTTATATAATAAAGATTAATTTTTATTATGATACAAATATAAAAGTTAAGAATTATTATTTTATAATGTGAGGGTATTATGTACACATTCTAACTCTAAAAATTAATAAACTTAACAAAGAAACTTTACCGTTTTTTGAAATTATCAACATTCTAGAGGATCCCTCTTCATTGTATGTAAACTGGGAGCTGTAGCACCTGGCATTTTATTCTTTGGTATCTTTCCAGGGCGTAAATAAGGATTATCAATAGCATCTTGTTGTGTTGTAATTTCTCCATTTTGTTCAGTATCTTCAGTTTGTGCTTTCATACCTAAAACAATATAAAAATAAGTTGTTTTATAAATTTGTTCATATTTGCTTTACAAAGTAATCAGACCTTCTTCTGTTTCTTCTATTTCTTGTTCCTTTTTCTTCTTCACTGGGCTTGGTTCAAATTGAAAGTCTTGATCAGGTTCAAACACTTGATCTTGCGGGAGAAGAGCAGATAAATAACTAGGAAATTGTGGTTTACAAGATATCACTGAAAGAGCAAGTCATTTAAAGTCTTCGGTAAGAATAGTAATTACGTACATCCAATAACTCTACTCAAATTACTTACATGGAAACATGCTGTTGTCTTCTGTTAAAAATAAACTATGTGTTTCCCCAGTTTTTGCAATAAATCTAGTTAAAGCTCTTTCAATGTCGCGTTTCTGTGTAGCTGCTTTCTCCCTTATTGCTTCATACTCTGTTACTGGCTGCTTATGTGTCTATTCATGAATAAAACACGGATTAGGTAACTCTTACAAATTTATAATGTACTTATAGATTATATAAACTGGATATTAGTATTATTCTTACCGGTGTCCTGATGTACGCATGTGGATCAGGGAAAAGTGGTAAATAACCCGGTATATGAGCCGGGTGACCTTGTTTTACTCCAGCTTGTAGAATATTTAATTGCTTTGATTGAGTTTGTTGCTGAAGTGGCGGTAAAACTGTTCTATTCGATCTCTTCCCATAATTTTCTATATTATCCAGTTTTATACCCATATTTATCAATGCTAGTATAACATCTGCAATGAGTGGTTCTGTTCTACCAGAAAGTTCGCAATAATTCCTGGCTGATTCTCCTACCTCTACAATAACTGTAAAAGAATTCTGTTTGAAATATTAAATTAGCTAAATTGGATAAATAAAAGTATAACAGAGAAAACAGAGAAATTTAAATTCAATCAATCAATGTTGAAAAATTAGAATAACCAAACTGAATGTAAATTCTTACAAGATTGTAGCATCTCTGTCAAAGTTTCTAACGCTTGTTTCTCACAAGTATCGTAGCCGCTTTCCACAAGTATACTGCAAACAACATGATTTAATATTTTTCTTCGTGTATTTGTTGTTTGAATATCCATGTTTTTCTGTGAAAATACATGTTATGATTTAACCAACAACTGTTCACCACGCCATCTTGCGTGTAAAGTGTGAACACGGTTAAAAGACAACACCTGCATAGCTTAGGATACATTAACGTTTTGCTCACATAGGTATTCCTGAATCTATCAAAATTTATTCTACAAATTCAAGTAAAATTTATGAGTGGACAATGAATATGAAAATTTTCCTTTAAGAACACGTGAAACATTTTTTTTCCAATAATTCAAAATGAGAATTTACTGTTAAATTCTGCATTTTGCAAGATTAGTAGTTTTCAATATATTACATTACGTATAATTTATTCAATATTTGAATTCATTAGATATATATATAGTCCTCTAAAACGAAAAAGAATCGTACCTCTATTATAATATAAATGCCAACCATTTTTACATTTTGACACTGATTAACCAGGAACAGTGAATTCGTTGATCACTGTTTTAGCATGCAGCTCGTGTGACCGACTAAATAGTCAGTACTGAATTTAAAGTAATTTCATTTCATTTCATTGCAATTCGTTAAGTTTTGGTATAATTTCTGTTTAAATAGTCAAGTAACGTTCAAATGCGTGAAGCAGAAGGTTAAGTAAGCTTGCCTGCATGTAACGAATATTAAATACAGTGGTCACAATTGTGTTACAATTCTATGTAAAAATTATTTTAATGTATAATTAAAATTATGGCGTCAGGTTTAGAAAGTTATGTGAATCGTATCCTTTTTCAATTAATGTTAAACCGCAAAATTTCGCTGTTAAATCTCTATAATTTGCAACTTATAATTTCCTAAATAATTTATAGACACAGTTTCTATCATCACTTCTGATGGCAGAAATTTCATTGTAAGTATATAAATACTACAAAAACAGATTTGTCTTGTACTATAATTATTTAAGATAGCTTTTATGTATATATCACAGCTTCGGTGAGATGAAATTATTTGTGAAAGAAGAGATACAGTATCGTATAATTAATTAAAATTTTTTAATGCTATTAAAATTCATGTATTTTTAGGGTACCTTGAAAGGTTTCGACCAAACTATTAATATAATATTGGACGAATCCCATGAACGAGTGTACAGTACAACACAAGGCGTAGAACAAGTGGTATTAGGTTTACACATTATCAGAGGCGACAATGTGTAAGTAACTAAGTTGATTCACTGTTTATTTAACTATACACATTTACAAAATATACCCAGTTGCCTGCTTATTATTACTTCTAAACTTCTGTATATATATCTATAACTTTTACTCTAACATAAAAACTTTGTCTGACCACATTTATTGTATAGTAATACAGCAACTTTCTAACTTCAAATTGATATATTATATATATTTTAAATTACATATAATACAATAGAAATATGAACATGTATCGAATAAACAATATTAATTTTTCTTTATTTTGGCAGTGAAAAAATTGTCTGAATACTGATAGATAAAAAAATATACATTTCACGTTTTAAAACCTACAGATATATTTATAATTATGTTAAAACTATTTAAATATTTCATGAAATTTAATTGAAAAGATATTAAATGCTTATAATTATGATTAACAAAAATGTAATAATATTCTCTATATTTCTTTCCTTTTCAGGGCAATTGTAGGAGAATTGGATGATGAAATGGATGCACGTTTGGATCTGTCAGCTATAAGAGCTGATCCTTTAAGTTCTATTGTACATTAATTGAATATATGCTTTTAAATATAATTATTATTGGATAAAGACCAATAACAATAATAATAATAATAATAATAATAATAATAATAATAATAATTTAATAAGAATCTGTAATAATGTAAACGATAGTCAAATGAAAGTACAATTTCTTATATAGGTTGTATATTATATAAAAACTTGTCACCTTTTATATCCATATTTAGATGTACTTGTATTTTAAGAAGTGCACTGCAGAAATACAGCATTATTTACAATATTAAAACAAACTATAAATGATCTTATTAGAATCAATAATTAAATTGTACAAAAAAAGTTTTACTATATAATAGTAAACTTTATTTTTTACAAATGTAATTTGCTTTATGATTTCATAGTAATAATAATAATAATAATAATAATAATAATCATAATCATAGTAATCATATTAATAATAGTAAAGAAAATTATTATAACTGGTAAGCTAACACTGGACACTGAATAATCTTTTAAATTTAAATATAATCTGTATCTAATATTATTTCTCGAAAGGGAAGTACTTTTAATCTGCATATCAGCAGATGAACGTGTTTAACATTAACGTGGAACGTACGGAGGTACCATAAAACTGATAAATGTAATTACTGGGTATACTTCGCTAGCAGTGTAAAACCTAGATTATTACAGGAGTTATTAATATTTCAATATTTTTCAGTTCCAATGCCTAGAAAAATTCCAAAGAAAAAATTTGTTCTGTACCCCCTTCTCTGAATCCTTTAATACTCAGGCAAGTAAAAAAGTATGTCCATGTACAACTGTTTTCAAAACTCTTATAAATACATTAATTTTTTTACAGAATATTGCAATTTCGCATTGATTAACATTAACAAATCGAAATCTGCGAAATCATCGAAGAGCAAGTCTTCTCATCTGAAATGGTGAACGCTGCCATTAAAAATCTGAAGGATCACAAAAGATCCTGTCTCTCTCCCTCTCTCTCTCTCTCTCTCCTCTCTCCATGTAATCAAGTACATCGCATCGACATACAAAGTGGATGTACATCTTGATTGCTCGAAGAGAACAATTCCAATATTTTTATATTTTTTTTATCTTGACAACGGACGCTGTCACTGTTATATCTTGCTCTTTGACATGGCGTTAGCTTCGGGCGAAGCCTTTCAATAAAAGTGAAACCTGTAATTTCTCCAAAACCGAAGGAAGCTGCTGCTTCGAAGGCAGGATTTTGCAACAATATTAATAATAAACAAGTCACTTAATTGATCTTTCAATGTTTAATCGAGGCTTAAGCCGTTCAGTGATTGATAATTTTCATTCATTCATTGTTTTCAACGTAGTTCAATAAAATCTATATTCTACTCTAGAACCCAACACTATAGTGAGCGTACGAATCATATACGATGCATTAGTATTATGTACTACACATGGAAGACATAAAAAAAATATAAATCAATTTGTATAATTAAACGACCTTTAACTCGTGTCGCCCCTTATCCGTTAAATGTCTTTTCAAATGGGTGATGATACTCGATATATACAGATACGTCTCTTCAACGAAATAATTTTCTATAACCAATAGTTTTAGTAGATGCATTCTGTATACAATATTTTTCCTTTTTCCATATAGAACATGATCTATACTTTTAAATAAAATATAGAATGTTGCGTGATTATGAGCATTATTCACATCGTTTATGCATACTTAACAAATGCTTGAGTGTATAAGTCATTTACAATTTTTTTTTCTTTCTTTCTTTCAATTAATTCTTGATTCCATTTAAATTCTTAACCTGCTATTTAAATCACTAGCGAGCATTTGACACCATGTACAATTGACAAGATCAAGACAATTAATCTGGACCACCGTGATTAAATGCATTGTATCGACACACAATGCACGCTGTACAAATTTAAATTAGAATGAGAATTATCACCAGGTACTTCGATTGTGTACCTACTCAAAAGATTGCTTATTGCTTTAATTATTAGTCACAATATTGGTCCTGTTGCGATGTCGTCTTCTGATTCGACCACCGCGCCTATTTTGGTTCGCCCCGTTCCACTCTGGCCCGTCCATGCCGAAGTTTGGATTCGGACCGTTCGGATTGAACCCCATCATACCGGAATCCGGTGGCACCGGCCCGGGACCGGGGCCAGGGCCAGGACCAAAGTTATTAAAATTATTACCAGAATAAGAAGCTGCACCGTCGTACGAAGGATTGACTTCCGGTCCGAAACCTACACCGGGCGCTGGACCTAACAGACCAGCACCATTGTTACGTTGAACATTGAAACGCGGATCAAAGTTCATCTGATTTTGAGGTACAACAGGTCCATTGATGGGCATACCTGGTGGCATGTTAGGCATGCCTGTCATGCCTATCGGTGCCATGTTCTGAGGACCCATTGGCGGTGTATTCATCATAGGTCCCATTGGGCCCATGTTCCCAAGCATTGGATTCGGACCCATGGGCATCATACTCTGTCCACCTTGCATGCCCTGCGGGCCGGACATGGGTTGAGGGACAGGCATGCCAGCAGGGGTCATCCCAATGTTGGGCATCTCTATCGACGGTTGCTGCACAGTTTTCATCATGGAAGCATTGATATTCTGAGAAGATAAATTGGAAGCCTCGAGAGCTTTTCGGCGTGGATCAGATCGAACCTGTGGGGGTGACTTTGGAGTGTCCGGTTTCACCGGGGGTGGAGACATAGGAGAATCGGCTAGTTCAACTTTACCGATTCTAAAGATTTTTCTTAAACGGGGATCATATTTCACCTGGGCATCATTTTTAGTGAGCTTCAGACCTGTGTAATCTGGTCTCGGTATATCCACGACATACACTTTGTAGGTCATCGGAGGATGCGACGAAATGCTAGCATCGATTTCCGTGCAGGGTACGTGAGACGGTGCCGGCTTAAACGGTAAACTCAACATTTGCCGTAAATCAACGTCGGATTTGGTCGAGGCATCCGTGAAGCTTGCCCCGACAACTCGTAGATCGGTGTCTCCGAATCCAGTTTGGAACCGTTGTCTGAAATCCATGTCTTTCCTTCTCAGATCCTGATCTGTCTTAGTGCGAAGATCAGTATCCATATTAGTGTCGACCGCAGTGATGCCGGAACTGTAGATGCTCGTTTCCAGTCGGAGAGGTTTGCTCTCCTTCTTGCATTCCGATCTACTAGGGCTGCTCGGTTTCTGTTCGTCTCTGCGTTGTCTGGGATCCCGAGACATGCGAGGATCCCTGGACATAGGCGCGGAACTCGTTCCAGGAGAGGATCGCGGACTCGACGTTTCCTGTTCGACTTTTAACAGCTGACTGGAACCACCAAACGCGGCTTTGCCTTGCGCGCTAGATTCGTCCGATGATCCTCTGTCCGGCGAAGATTTGTCTTTCATAATATTTTCCTGGCCATTAGCGCTCTGTTGACTCGACTTTCCGCTCGGTGAACTGCGCGCCTTGAGGGATGATAACAGTTTCGACACTTCAGCACTGATGTCGATTTTGCTCAAGTCGCCAAGTTTGTCAACAATGGCTGCTGGCTGAGGTATACTGGGCATCGAGGTCGACTGTTGGAACTCCTCTTTGATGCTAACGTTCTGTGTCTTTTCTGAGAATTCATTCTCCTCTTTCGATGAATCCTTATTGGGCAGTACTATGGTCAGATTGCCGCCCTCGTCGTCGTCGTCGTCGTCCTCGTCATCCGAGTACCAGTCTTCCAGTATTTGATCTGTGTTTTGCGTGGAACACTCGTTCTCCATGTTTTTGAAGCTGTCTTGAGCTGCACGCTGCTGCTGTTGAATACGCATGAACAATTCCTGTGCTTTCTTCGGTAAGTGAGACGGTACTTCCTGTTCCTCCGTACGGGGCGAAGAAGCACTGTTATTGTTGCTTTGTTCGCTTGGGACACACGTTTCTGCAACAGATTCATTCGTTCCTTGTATAAATGTTACCCTGGTATGTAAAATCTAGTACTCTTCGTTTGCACATTGAAAACGAGCAGATTAAAATATTTCCCATAAATAATTACCTTCTTGATCGGTACTTTTATCTTTCTGTTTATCTTCCTCCTCGATGGGTACTTCTATAACAAGGTCAGTTTCTTCGTCCTGATCACTTTCTTCGTCGATCTTGGATTTAGTAAGATTTGCTACTTCATCGGCTATGCTAACGACGGGTGGAGGCTTCTTCGCGGTTTTCAATAGTTGTCTTAAATCTATGTCCTTTGAATTCTCAAGTATCGAAGAATCTTTCTTCTTTGCCTAAATAAAAATACATGGTTAATTTCATAATAATGTGTAATGATATCCTAGGGGATGTAGAAACTTGTAGTTGTTATACCTGCTCTAAAATTTCATCTTCTTCTACGTCTTTTGTAAAATCTTCTCTATCGCGTTTGTTTAAATTAGCTTTATTCATTTCAGAATTAGCTTCTGTGTAGAAATCCATGGTTGGCATAGTCTGTGGAATCAGTGGTTTTGAGTGTAGTTGTTGCTGAGTTGCTAAACCCAATGCAGCATTGGGTAGTTGTAGTCCAAATTCATTGGCTGACTGGAGTAACATAATTTGTTCGTATGGAACTCTATCTTCGTCTGAACCCCATCGAGTCTTTTTACCGGATGGCTTCCTTTCTCTGACACTTTTCTGTTGAGATACCTGATCTTCTGTACAAAATGGTTTCATGTTAATTACGGACGTAACGACCACGTTTTCTATATTAAAAATGAATATATTTTTCAGTACCTTTCTCGTCTTTTTCATTATTTTTATCTGTAATACTAGTGGGCGCAGGTACATTTAAATCAAAAAGACTTGGAATTTTTTGATTTATCATGTCCTGACCCTGGGCTAGTGTTCTTGCTGTATTATTTATCATTAACATTGCTCCTTCCCTACTTAAACGTGGAAAGTCGCCGAGAATCTCTTTTGGCGCTGTTTCTAAATGTTTCAACAAGATTCCTTTCACCTGAAAAATGAAGAGTTCAATTTAAAATTCTTTTCTTCTTTTTTTTTTAAATAAGATCATTTTTATAATTAGTACCTGTTCACTTAGCGGCTGATGAGAAAATTTACAATTATCCCCTTGAATGCATTTTAATCCTGTGTGGAAAAATTTACATGGGAAATCATGATGCATGTATAAACATTTATCTCTCTTTGCACAGCAATCCATAAGATAAAATTTACATAGTTCCATTTTTCTAGGTGGTAATGCATTGTGTGAGAAAGGACAATCATCTCCTCTGTGACATTTTCCTTGCATATAATAAACGCATATAGCGTCTGGATCTTGATTGTGATCATTATTCTGATTTCTTCGACCATTTCTATCATTTCTCATTTGTCCCCTAGCTTTGTTCTTTCCGCCTCTTTCGTTTTTACCACCTCTTCGTCCTATTGCAATACAAATAATAATATTAAAAAATATGTTAAAGAATGTAGCGAATAGGAAAGTATAATTGATATGTTATTTGACCTCCTCCTCCTCCTCCCCTTGTGTTTCCGCGTTTAGTATCATTATCCCTATGTCGATTTACATTAGGCCTGTCATCGTAATCTGAATTACTATCAAAATTCTCGTGATCATTGGCATGTCTTGGAGAATTATTTTCTTGTGCATCTTTTCTAACAGGTGAAGCACCCCTAACAAATAACATTTCATCCTCATCATCGTTAACATTTTCATCATCGCTCACCTTCCTTCTCTGTAAATCGTATATTAAAAGCATAAGTATTTACCATGACAATACGTTATTAATAAACATGGTAAAAATTCTAAAAACCTTCTGATCCTTGTTACGGTCTTCTTCCCTTTCATCACGAAGCCTTTTCCTACTCTTATTCCTATTATTTTTACTCTTAGCCTTAGAATCTTGATTTCTAGCACCATCTTCCTCTAAAGCTGCCCTAATAGCTTTCTCAACATCCCCAGCCCAATCTTCCGTTACATTTTTATATTTGGAAAATCTGTCATGTTTACTACTTCCTTGAATACTAGGTTTCTTATTTTTACTAAACTTAGAATCAAAGGTTTTGCTCTTTGATGTATCTGCTTTCGATACATTTTTAACAGCATCGTCATCTTTTACCGGTGGTGGTGGTACTGGCTCATCGTCTTCATCGGATGGAATTTCTCCATCTTCCAAGTCATTATCATTATTACTACAAATATAATAAAAATAAATTACTAATTCAAAAGTTTTAATCTCAAGTTTTGAAAATTAAGTAATTTTATTTTTATCGTGTGTATGTGTGTATGTGTGTAACGTGTGATTATAAGTTATTCCTTAGTTGTACTTTAACTCCTGTTAAGACACAACGTTCAACGTGTAACGAAGACTAGATATACTCAGTTGCAATTGTATGTATTCGAAGCGATTAACAATGCTTCTTCATCTTATTTGAACAGTTTAAATACTCCAAGTATCACATTAGTACCAATAAAGTAGCAAAAATTTAGAATCAAAGAACCATCCCCTAAAATACTTGTAACAAAGAGATAAGATTGAACAATGATTTCCCAGAAACTAAGAAATCCGCCTCCTCAATGAACTAAACAATTTTGCAAATTTTTTACAGATACTTTTGTACATTAAAGTTAATTCAAACGATCGTCGTATCTCTTGAAACGTTCAATTAACATCATTTTATAAATCTTTATCACCTTACGACTATCATCATCGCAATTATTATTCAATGATCAGAGAAGAAACGCAAACTGCGTTGTTACATCGATGAAAAGAAAGAAAAAAGTTTTTCATGTAAAAGTTGGCCCGAGCTTATAATAGCTGTCAAGGCCATTATCAGCAACGGCCATTAAATACGTATCATAGACTTATACACGTTGGATAAAGGTACATCGAAAACTTTGGTCGAGCAGAGTATACTCGAAAGGAACTCCCGCTACTAGTTGAGCTGAAAACATTAGCTTGCTTTTGGGGCACGGCTAACGGACATGTTGCAGCACGGTAGGTATCGATCGATGCAACCTAAATATACATACACGTATAGCCGACGTTACATGTACTCAGAAAATGATCCGTTTCTCGTTGCAATACCCATTTTCCCCTTTTCCCTTTTTCTCTCTCTTTTTTTGGAATAAAACGATACTCTCCGGATATATAAAATTACATCCGCACAGTATCAATCTCATAACATAAAAACCAGAAAAACTACAAACGCAGGAAAACAAGGAACCCGTTCTAAGCTTGTGCAACCATTCCCACGATTTCAAAGAGACAAAGTAAATACACTCGTGAACTGGAAACAAAAAAGTAATCGGCAAATTACAGGCGTTAAAGATTTGTTAAACAATAGCGCAAAACGTAACACGCAGGTTCGCGAGCCGTGTAGATAAATAAATAGATATGAGATTACCTTACCCACGGAATCACGATCGTCATTAGCATTATCATCATGAGACTATTATTAATTCATCATCATCGTCGATGCCGTAGCATGGACATTGGATCGATATACGACATGTCACATTGT